AACGCTGACGTAAACATGGTGCAGCAATGGATCTATGACACACAGACATGCTGAAGGCTGCTCACTTTAGCGCTCTAGTTAGTAGGTCAGTAGGTTCAGTGAGGGGGGATGGGGGAGATAACGGTTAACCACGTCTCTAAATAATGACCTCGAAACTGCCAGAGGCACCAACGACAACAAGCGAAGGACCGAGTCTCTCTGAGCAGTGAAGCATGGCCTTATGGGAATTAAATGAAGACGGAATGATGGGAAGGTGTTTGGCATCCAAACTGTTGCTTTTTGCCTCTGAAGGGAGGAACACTTGGACGTCGAAGGTGAGCCTCGTTTAATGCATCAGCAAGCACACCTACTAGTTCAACATGAACACATTATGCATCACAAAAGCACACGCCTAATAAGAGCAGTCGCTGCTGTTCGATTCTTAAACGCCTGGTTCCTGACCCACTTCTACGTAATGACTCAGCCTGAGCAGTTACACATCAGTAAACACAAATCCACTCCCTCGTTTGGTAGAGTAAAAAACGGATCAATGTCCAAGTTAAGCTAAATACACGACTCCTTCATGCTGAGGCAGCAACCAAACAAAGATGGTGATGGTGTTTTGGTAGGACAAGGGCCACCCGTCTTGGGCACATCCGGGTTTGGCTCCAGCTTACTGTTCAGTCACAAGATCAGATCTTCACATGTGAGGGCTCCTGAGCAACAGAAGAACCAGGATCTGAGACGCCAGGACAAGCCGCACTGACCTCATTCTTTGGGGGGAAACTGGAAGCACCCACAGGCCACAGACTGAAAGGAACTCCAGCCACATGACTCTTAACACTCCAGGAAAATTGGGCCAAACGGGTTTAGACTGTGCTGGATTTTCACATCGGGATAACACGTGAGGTCTGAAGTATTTACTCAAAAGTTTAACCTTTGAAGTTGCTTTATTAAGCTCAACTGGTCAGTATTTACTTTTGTAAAAATACTTTTTTTATTGATCAACTTTGATGAACGAAAAAAGCCAAACAAATGGTGCTATGGACAAAAAAAATCAAAGGAAGCCAGAAGACAAACGAGAAGGGCTCTGAGAAGGTCAACGCAGCTCAGTCCCTGTAACATACGGAGTTATTTCAGTCCAGCTGGTGCAGAAACTGTGATTCTTCTTCCTCCTGCTAAATTTAACAAGACTACCCACTTGGCGACCACTGTACTGTGTTCTCACGTGTGTGCATGGACGTTCTGCTACGTAGCTCTGCAGCTGTAATACTGGAGCCCTGTTGTTAGCTAGCTACTTATTGTGATACACGGGTTTCATGGAAAAAAATATTTCCTTTTCATCTGAACATTTTCTGTCTTAATGAGCAGAGAGTAGAAGGAGATCCCACACCTTTAGTTACAGAAGGTAGTTCTTATTCTAACAGCATCACACATGTATCTCAGCAGGATCGTGTCATCGCTCATGTGTTCCAGCGTGCTTCTGTGGTAACTGGGTGCAAACTGTAATATGCCAGGGCTTACATAAACCAAAATTAGAAAGGATCCCCTACTTTTCCCCAGACAAGCTAAACACACAACATGGCACCACCACAAGGGCCGAAATACTAAAAAGTAAACAGACGTGGACAGAAAATATATGTTCAGAAAAAAACCCTCACAAACCAAACCTCAGACATGGTGGCTGAAGAAAAGCTGCTGAGTCCGTAACACGACGTGAAGGGAATCCTTGTTCATCGTTTAATTAGCAAAAACTTCCAGAACCAAAGTCAAATGTAGACGACTCTGGGTCTTGTTAAAACCTGAGCGTTTTCCCTGTGCTTCTCTCTCTTGTTTACACACAAACTGTAAAAATGTCTAGTTTGGAAAACTTTTATAAAAGCTGCAGAATCTTTCACACAAATCTTAAAGTGTTTTCAGTGCCTCTAATCAGAAACAATGACAAAACAACATATTTTGCAGTTTGCAATTAGTAGCACTCTTGTTTCAGCGTGAAGGTTGCAGGTTGAAATCCTAGCTGCAGCCCTTCTGCATGTTCTCTTCGTGCATGCATGGAATTCTCCGGGTGCTCAGGTTTCCTCCCACAGACCAGAAACAGGCATGTCAGGTTAATTGAAGACCAATTGTCCCTAGATGTGAGTGTCTGAGTGGCTGTTTGTCCCTGTCATGGATTGGGGACCTGTCCAAATGTCCCCCACCACTTTCCCGATGACTGTTGGTTTTGGAGATCAGCTGAAAAATGAGCCAAAAAGACCTTCTTTTCAGCAGTCAGTGCGGTCACATGCGCACTGACCGACATCTAAGTTGATCCAGGTTGATTTTATTGTAATAAGCTACTTTACATGCACATTAGAAAACAAGACTCTCAAATAAATTTAATTCCACTCCAGTACAGTAGGTGGCGAGATGCCCCTGTTCATGTCGGCATTCTTCTGGTTAGCTTATAGCAACACCAAACCCCCATAATTCGGGTATGAAAGTGAGTCCAACGCGGAAGTGAAATAAATTGCAGTTCCACCCTCATCCACTAGGGGCTGGTGTCAGAAGCGAGCAAATCCTCATTGACTCCCATGTTAAAAATACCAATTTCACAGCAGAAATAAACATGTTTACAGCCTGGTACCAGAACATGTTTTAGGTTTAAATGATCTAGTTTAAACTCATGACAACTCTGAGGGGGGTGAATTTTTTTCTCACTCTTCTGTTTAAGTGTATTAAAAGCCTAAAATTCTGTATAATTAATGAGCGTCAGACCCACGTGACCACAGAGCTAGCTCTGGGGAAAGGCCTCAGTAGAGCCTCGGCCTCGCCTGAAAACTGTTCTGCCATTTTCAGTCTCTCAACTTAGACCATTAGTTGTAGCATTTGTGCGTTCTTTTTAGATATTTTTTGTGCAATTGTTGGACAAAATGACTTGCTGTGGCATTAATTGCACTAATAGAGCGTCCAAGGAGTCTCCACTTCATTTTTTCCTATAAGTAAAATTATATTTATGTATTTTAGGTCACTGCCGAGCTGAGCTTAGATTTTAACATGTACTGTTTAACCATGAAATTTAAATGTAATAGGGTAAAACCCAGTGCATTTAACATGACGCTGCACTTTTGAAAATGGGTTGAAATATAACATGTTGGTGGAGCTGGGTTCCGACTATCGGTATGGTCCCCTCCCCTCAGCGGCAGCTCGGCGCATCTCAAATCGCAGCGGCGCCTGTCTGCTGTGCGGCTGCCGGCTTGTGGAGCTCTCGGGAGACCTCTGTGTTCCACCCGGTTTTACCCGGCGGTCAGCCCGGCGTATCTCTGACTCAGAAGCTCTGGTGTTGTGCACAGTTAACTCTGGTTATAGCTAGGTAGCTACCTCCGTTAGCTTAGCTCCCACCTCCATGTTAGCTTTGAGTTAGCTTGTAGCTACATCGCTTCAGTTCGACGGGTGTCGTCATTTGATCCCAGCCTTACAGCCCCACCCTCAGCTCCACCTCTTTTCCCTTTTATGGAATTGTCTGGGCTTGACGAAACCTGTGGCACGGTCAAAATGGCGGTGGTGGCCACCTCCCATTTTGGCTCAAAAACTGATAATAGGAGCCTATGGAAACACATTGTCCAGTGTATATGTCGATGAGCAACACAAGCAGTAAACAGAGGTTGGCAGGAGTGAAGCAGATGGAACAGAAACAGGATATGCACAACGGCTGAAGGAATGTATAACAACGCTGCAGCACAGCTTATTTATGATGTTCTGTCCTGTTTTATGAAGTGACACATGTTGCTTTGTGACGAAGGTCTTGTCAGAAGACCGCCTCCAGCAAGCGTCCAACCAGTTCAGTTCGGCTAACCCGTTTACATGCAGAATGCATTCGGATTGCTAACGCATTATCTGGGTGCTTCAGCTCAGGCAATTAGAACCAGTCCGCTGTCAGCCAGACTAACGCGTTTACATGCATTTAAAATAACAATGTGAGTCTTTTTAGGGCAGTACTTCCGTTTTCTGCTGCGCATGTAAACACACTGACTGATTATTTGAAAACATGTGGTTTAATGTTCTGATTTCTCTGACAGAGTGCCATCATGCTCAAAGTGAACATGATACATTTGATCATACAGATTATAATCAGCTTGAGACTTTCTAGACAATGTGGATTCAAAGCTGTGCAAGCCAACTTGTCTAAAGAGGTGGAAATAAACAGGAAAGAAGTCAAGTGCTAATTGTGAGAAATGCATCACTGTACAAATGTATTTCCATGAGCGCCGCTCTGTGAGGGAATATCAAACCGGTCCAAAAATAAAAAGTCTACTTCCAACATAGGCAGCATTTAAAAACAAAAGGCTGCAGTGCCAGTAAAATATAATCATTCAACATGACAGCATGTTCCAAGAGCACAAAGTGAGTAAGTTCCCATTTCCTGCTTCAATACCACTGAAAGTACACCCCATGAACAGGACACTGGTGGGTTGTGGTGAACCTCTGCCTTAAGCTTCTTTCCAGACACCACCAACTCATATAACTCAAGCCACTCATTTTATCCTTGTCTGAATGGAAAACACAAAGTCTGTACATATTCTTCTGCAATCAAAACGCGGTCGCATTTCCACCACCAGGATAGACTCCCTCATAAACCACTATTGATGTATGAAAAGTTAAACATGTTAAAGAAAAAAATGTAAGATGTAAGATGTTCATCAGAGAGTTCCAGCAACATCAGCGTCTTGATTTTCCAGGATGAATATTTGCTCATTAGGAAGCCCATAAAACAAACTCCACGCTGACAATAAACAGACTTTTCTGTGCTGCAGGATATGCATTCCTGACCTGGAAATGATTAAGAATGAAGCAAACAAGGTGGTGTGTTTGTTGAAGTGGCCCAAGGAGACAAAGTCTGTAAGTCATTCACACTACTCAGGAAGCATGGGCCAAATAAAGTGTTACACCTATGTTTTACCTATGTAGGACTGCAGTTCAGTCGTTCTTTTGCACTGCTGATCCATTTTGTCAAAAATGAGAAAAGACTGTTTTTCATGACTTACCAAACAACTCCTGCTGGTGTCATCTGCAACAATGTGATCACTTTTTTGACTCAGTCTGCTGAGAGAGAACAGCCTGGGTCAGTCCAGGAAGAGGCATTCATCTAACAGCAGCATTTCAGGCCTGAACTTCCTCCTCTGAACAAGAAAAAAGGAACAGTTTCCCTCCCCTGCAATGGGATTGAATACATCATCAACTCAAAGGGTGAATGTCAGTCTGGCCTTTAAACCAGACTCACATCCTCTAATGCAACTGGACTTCCTCTCTTCTTATGCAGCCTATAAGCACACATCAGTCTGGAAACCACAGAGTTCAGCAAAAACCCAGATTTGTTTACTTCCCTGCTAACAGGTGTTGTGTTGAGATGTGTCACCATGAAAGAAAGCTCGATTTCCAATCACAGAGGAGTTTCCCCTCCCTGTACATATTTTGGGCACAGCAGTATAAAAGTCGAAGGAAGTGATCTTTGTGACTCAGTTGTAACAAATGTGTGACGACATGAGGGAAAACAAGTGTTTCCCAAGCTGTTAGAAATAAAAAAAAAGTGATAATTTTACATTTTTTATAGAAGATAATTAACAGCAACAAAGGTTAAGGAGAAAACAGCAACTGATGTGGAAACAAGTTTTCGACAGGGAAACACATCTCGACATGACACCGGAACAATTACTAGCATTTAAAGCCGAGCTAACTGACATAAATTGCACCGAGGCTTCGTCAGAATGACGTTAAAGCACTTATAGGTGTGTTTTTGACCGACACCAGAAGTAAAACTGACCTAATTCAGTCCCTTATTTATTTATTTATTTACTTTTGGGTGAAACACTTCCTCCTGCACATTTTAAACGCCAGTTATTTACTCGCGTGCACACCGCTCAGTATTTTCATTTAAAACAATATAAACCACTCACCATTCTGTTGGCTAGTAGCTTCTCCAAGTCAAACGAGTTGAGTTTTCAAAACGGTGGGATGGAGGATGCGCCAACGGTCGCGACGCCTGGCATTCACTTTCACAGACTTTCAATGTTGGCGCGGGTGATACCATTAACCAACTCGGATTAAACACGTAAAAAGTCACAAAGATTATGATAATTACCATTTACTCAATACATTTCTAAGTCGTGATGTGAAAATGTGATACTTTATCGTAACAAAGTTTATTTCGGGGGCCCGGTGGTGTATTGCACCCCTAAAATGATCTCTGTATTGGTACGGTCCCAATTTCCCAACTTTGAGAACGTGTGCGTTACCGTGGTAACCACGTATTCTCGCGAGATTACGAGAAAACTTCTCAAAGTCACGAACCATCAAACAGAAAACTGTTCTTAGACGAAAACTAAATATCAAGTTTATTTGAAAGATAGAAGAAAACGTGAAGCAGAATCCTGGAATATTTGCTTAATCCAACATCTGCGAGGACTAAAGCCACTTTACAAGACCATAATGCCCTTTATTAGTTAAAACTCACATTTAAAACCATTTTGGAACACAAAACCGTGAATCGTGTGTTGCAAGAAAGTTTCTGAGGTCTGTCCTCACATTTATTCAGTTAAAGAGGCACGGTGTGTGTCCTTTAGTTTCTCTCTCCTGGAGAGGCCAGCACGGGGGCTCAAGTTCAGCTAATGACAAAACAAGCTGGGGAATGATCTAATGTTTTGGCAGCAAATGGTTTTAATTAACTAATTCAGGATAGCCTGGGCTTTTGGTGGTGGGGGAGTGTTTTTCTTCTTTACTCCACATGCGTGCAGAGGAGGATGCAACCTTTACCGCACTGGTTCCCATGAGGGCAACTGTTGTTTTCTTCTCCTCAGAAACCCAAATGTTATTCCTCCCAGCTCTCTCGTTTGAGTTAAAAAGAGGCTAAAAGTCTGGATAAGTGTCGATAAGAAAGAGACTGATGCAATGAGCACTCTTTCCACACATCAAAGTGGAGCCAAGGGCAGCTCGTCAGGCAATTTAACACAAAGTGTAGCTCTACACGTACATTGGAAAAATCTTTTTCCTGTTAATTTCAGAAAACGGGGACTTATCTGTCACGAGGATATGAAACTATACCAGACAATAACAGTGAAGGGATAGTTAGACATTAGTCACAGCACCTTACTTTATTGCAGAGAAAATTATTTCTCATCTGCAGATGCCTCCAACTGTTTCCGGAACTGCGCTGCTCTGGGTGGCTGCATGTTGGAGTAGCTCTGTTGACTGTATGTAAGTTTTGCCTTTTCTTGGACATTTTTTGTTCTAGTTTCTCAAAAAAAAAAACAGTATTTTTTTGGACATTTTACTTTTCTGTTTCTGGTGCTGTGAAGCTTGGAGGATTTTTACTGCTATTCTTTAGCTTTTTTCACTTTTTGAGCATTTGTTATGATGCGTAACCATGGCAACAAGCTGGTTTACAATCGGGAGCAGCTGATTAACATTGGAAAGGCTGAAATAATACCTCAACTGAAGCCACAAATCCCAAATGAGCTAAAACGCAAGAAGCGTGGGTGCAGAGCGGGAGCAAAACGGAGACAGAGAAAGAGGAAATTCAAACCATCTCTTCTAATCAATTTCCCTCTGGGATTAATTAAGTATTTTTGAATAGAACTGAATTGAATTTGAACTAACCCACACGTTGGCGGAAATGTATTTTGTGTGAAATTCATGTTTGATTCTTCTGAAGAAACGACAGAAGATTTGTGCCGAGATCAATCTTTAATTCATATGAAAAAGGTCTTTAAGTCTATTTTGTCACAGACAAAAGCTGCGTGGTCGTGCCTTTTGTTAGAACATTTTCAGGCAGAGGTGTGCCCTTCCTTCAGCGCTATGAAACTTGGCAGTTCCTCGTTTTCCTGGTTATATAAACACACACACACACACACACACACACACACACACACACACACACACACACACACACACACACACACACACACACACACACACACACACAAACAAGTTGAAACAGCTTCTTAATAAACCATGTTTACATCTGAATGTTGCTTCCTGTTTGCTGCCCCCGCCAAAATAAGACCAGCATGTATTCAGGAGTCAATGAAACAGCAGGCCAGCTGTTGTTTAACTGTAGTTTTGTTTTCTGTCTCTTCCAGTCAGACAGGAGGAAGCAGAGGAGGCCGTAGACTCTGATCACCAGTAAATCCGCTTCACTTCAGAGAGAAGGAAGTCATTCAGGGGCCCTGGAAGATGTTACATCATCAGCTGTCGTGGCGAGTTTTAGTCACACGTACAGTAAAACAAAAAGGAAGCTGTTACAGCACCTGGTGCCATGTTTGGTTAGTGATTAAACGTCACAGCAGAGCAGCTTCTTTCACCTTTTAGACATAAACCCTTTTTGGCAAATTCTCAGCAGCAGCTGCGTACTGGCGTGACATCCAGCCATTCGATATTCCTCCGCCTAGTCCATCTCTCACTAATTAAAGAGCAAGTCACCCCCAAATCACATTTTTTTTGCTGATAAACTATATAAAGGAATGTCTAATCATGCTACAGACACGTGTAGTCAATAATTTGGCACTTCAGTGCATCTTGGTTAAAATTCAAATATTCTGCCTAAAACTGTCAGTGTTGCGCCGTCGTCAGGGAAAAATTCTGCACTGTATTTGAATTTAAATCTGCCACCGCTATTGGCTAAGAGGTATGCTATGATGTCATCTGGTATATTATGATGTCATAATGCCATTGTGAGCCTGTGAGTGTGTGTATTTGTTAGCGGTTCCGCCCTCTTGGTCTGCCAAGCAACAGCATTTGTTGCATTTTTCAAACAGGAAGTGGGAGTGAAGTAAGTTTCTTGTAGGGGGTGACTTGCTCTTTAAATACATTATGTTCATTTCAGAATAAAATCAAGGTCTTTCAGAGTTTTAAACTGTGAACTTATGGAATTGAAGCTGTCTTGGTAAAACTCTTAGTAAAACAAGATCTCACACAACCCGGTAGCATTCAGAGGAAAGACTCTCAGCTACATGAGATTTGAGCTAAATATCTGTAGAAGTCTCCGAGTCATTTTTGTGTTGGTTGAGTTCAATCAGCTGTGGTGACCAGCTTCAACGTGACTGACTCCAAAAGATAGTCAGACGACTGTTTCAGGCCATTCTTCTAGGAGTTTCATCCATTCATGTTCATGAGAAATTCAAAGAGAGAATAACAAGTTCGACACCAACAGTTGGTGCCAAACCTTAGCGGGGCAGCAGTAGCCTATAGAGCAGGTTGTCCGGTAAGTGGAGACTGGCAGGATCGATGCTGGCTCCTGACTGCGAATGCTGCTGTTGTGTCCTTGGGCAAGACACTTCACTCGCCTTGCGGCGGTGGAAGAGTCTGATGGCGCCTGTGCTTGGCAGCCCCGCCTCTGTCAGTGCGCCCCAGGGCAGCTGTGGCTAGACTGGATCTCATCACCACTACGGAGGGCATGTGTGTGTGAATGGGTGAATGACTGATTGTGTTGTAAAGCACTTTGGGGGGTTCTGGGACTCTAGAGGGCGCTATATCAAATACAGACCATTTGCTATTTGTACAAAATGTGTGTGTGTGTGTGGGAGGGGGACTCTAAGATCCTACTTCAGTAAATGTTTCTGCAAAACAAACTGATTGCCGCTGCATGTGATTTTTAAAGAGCAAGTCACCCCCTACCAGAGTATTCCTCCACTCCCACTTCCTGTTTGAAAAATGCAACAAATACTGTCGCCTAGCAGACCGAGAGGGCGGAGCCGCTGACAAATACACACACACACAGGCTCACAACGACATTGTGACATCATATGGTACAGCTAACGTTCTAGGGTACCTCTTAGCCAATAGCGATGGCAGCTTTAAATTCAAATGCAGTGCAGAGTTTTTACCTGACGACGGCACAACACTGACAGTTTTAGGCAGAAAATTAAAATTTTAACTAAAATGCACTAAAGTGCAAAACTATTGACGACATGTGTCTGCAGCACGATTAGACACACATTTATATAGTTTATCAGAACAAAATAGTAGATGTGGGGGTGACTTGCTCTTTAAAGGGTAAACAGCTGTGGATGCATATTTAGTGATACTTTTAGGGCACACAGTCAAAATTATTATCGTCTGGGTAAATCTGTGGTGTCCATTTCATGGCAGCATGGTGGCGCAGTTGTTAGCACTGTTGCCTCGCAGCACGAAGGTTGCAGGTTCGAAACTCGGCTGTGGCCTTTCTGCGTGGAGTTGCACAGATCACAACATGCCCTACAAGTTAAAAATTGTACGTCGCTTTGGAAAAAAGCGCCTGCCAAATAAATAAACATAAATAAACATAAACATTTCTGGCCCTCCAGGGCCACCATCCTGTTTCTTTTAGAAGTTTATCTGCTGAAGCACACCTGATTTTAACCAGCAGATGATGCTGAACAGGTGTCAGCCATAGAATCAGGTGTGTTGGAGCATGAAAACAACTAAAACATGTCAAGTAGTGGCCCTCTGGAAACCTCAGATTTTAATCCAGTCAATTGTAAATTACATTAAAGCAACTAGATTTGACCGAAATCCTGCACAACAAACACCAAAGCATTCGCCAAATGAACTTTTATAGCTGCATGGTGGTCACAGGTCACAGGTTTGAATCCCAGCTGCAGTTTTAACACACTCACCCCAAGCACGAGTGGGATTTCTCCGGTTTCCTGTCAGCCGCTTTATATAAGTGACTGCAAAATGCCTCAACAGAAACATTTACATCCAAATAATGAAGTGGAACGTCATGCAAGGTTTTCCATTCTGGTAATGTTTCAGTTTAGACTTTTAAAAAATGAATAAAATACAAAATTCAACTGATTCAAAGGCTATTTTTGGGGGGGGATTTGCAACCTGCGAGGCTGCAGCAGAAAGAACCACCAAAAACAAGATTTTATGGCAGATGGATTTCAAATAGAACATTTATAAAATTCTTTAAAGGGCAAGTCACACCCAAATCAACCTTTTTTCTGATAAACTATATAAATGTGTGTCTAATCGTGCTGCAGACACGTGGAACTGCGCTGCTCTGGGCGGCTGCATGTTGGAGTAGCTCTGTTGACTATATGTAAGTTTTGACTTTTCTTGGACATTTTTTCTTCTAGTTTCTCAAGAAAAACAGTATTTTTTGGACACTTTACTTTTCTGTTTCTGGTGCTGTGAAGCTTGGAGGATTTTTACTGCTATTTTTTAGCTTTTTTCACTTTTTGAGCATTTGTTATGATGCGTAACCATGGCAACAAGCTGGTTTACAATCGGGAGCAGCTGATTAACATTGGAAAGGCTGAAATAATACCTCAACTGAAGCCACAAATCCCAAAAGAGCTAAAACGCAAGAAGCGTGGGTGCAGAGCGGGACGGAGACAGAGAAAGAGGAAATTCAAACCATCTCTTCCATCAATCATAATGGGCAATGTGAGATCACTGGCCAACAAGATGGAGGAACTCCAAGCCCTTTCAAGGACTCAGCCAGAGTTTCGGCAGTTTCGGAACCGCTGGAGGAGATGATGCCTAGAAGGATTCTCCAGAGAATCAAGAAAATGGACAACCCTGAGCGTTCTCTTCACAAGACTGTCCGACAACGGAAGAGTGTCTTCAGTCAGAGGCTTCTTCAGTTTGGCTGCAACACTGACCGCTACTGGAGATCCTTCCTGCCAACAGCCGTTGTAATATACAACAACTCTTTGATGACTTGATTATTATTATTATTCTGAGCTACTACAGCAATCAATTTCCCTCTGGGATTAATAAAGTATTTCTGAATTGAATTGAATTGTGTCGTCAATAGTTTGCACTTTAGTGCATTTTAGTTAAAATTTTAATTTTCTGCCTAAAACTGTCAGTGTTGTGCCGTTGTCAAGTAAAAACTCTGCACTGCATTTGAATTTAAATCTGCCATCGCTATTGGCTAAGAGGTACCCTAGAACGTTTGTTGGTACATTATGATGTCACAATGTCGTTGTGAGCCTGTGTGTGTGTATTTGTTAGCGGCTCCGCCCTCTCGGTCTGCTAGGCAACAGCATTTGTTGCATTTTTCAAACAGGAAGTGGGAGTGGAGTAATACTCTGGTAGGCGGTGACTTGCTCTTTGAACACAATCCTTTTCAGCCGTGGATAACGGCTGGTATTAAACACGGAAGCACCCCCTTCCCCGTTTGTTTTCAGCAGACATTTTGTAATTGATGTTTTTGCCTAAAAGATGTAATCCACGTTTCTGCGGTAATCTCCACAACCTTTTAGTTTCCAAATTATAAAGCTGGTATTTGGTCTGTCTCAGGAAGGTGGCATGGTTACGACATGGTGTCTGCACACGGAGTTCCTTGGAAGTCGGACAAAGGTTTGGGAAGTTTTAATCTTTTTGCAAGCATCAGCACAAACGGCATGTCTTATTTAAAGGCCCACGAGATTCTGTCTCAAACAGAACTTGTGTTTTCACCTGGAAATCAAAGATGACCGTTGATTTCTTCTGTTGTAGAAACTAAAATGTGGAAAAACTTAAGACTTGCTGTAGAAACTTTGCAAAGTAAAGGTGTTATTTTTTTAAATCGTGTTTTGTGTCCTTTTCCAATCACCTGGACCATAAAAGCTGCTTTGTGAGGCTTTTATCAGCTCTCTCCATCAGGCGTAAGAGCGTATTTATACTTGTGGTTTCCTTCTATTCAGAGGCTGTGGAGCTGCTGCAGAAAGGCTTGGCTGGGAAACAAGTTCACGGTTTCACGTTTGTTAGATTCATCCACGTCCCTCATCTTCCCACTGAAAACTTCTTAGGAAGCAGATATCCAACAAGAACACTTTTCACTTCACTGAAACTGATGCTACACGTCTGAAGCTTCAGATTGTGTTCAGATTTCAGGCTCTAATCTGGTCTATTCGTCTTGTTCACCACTGATCCAGAATTATCTCAGCTGAGAGGGGCTGCTGCTCGACTTCAACCCAAGTGCTGTTTCAAATGTTAAGTGAAAGATGTAAATGCTGAAAAAGCAGAACTGGCCCGGTTCTGCTTGGCCCGTTAAAGCGTGAGCTGCGGACAGAGCAGCATCCCCGGCAGCAGACGAGGCTTCCAGCGGCGCCGACCGCAGCGTTCCTCTGGGTTTTATAATGGCAGCGTTACCTTCACTTGCAGGAATGTGAGAAAAATGGAAAAACTGACAAATGCAAATAAAAAAGTTGCTTTCCTTCTACGATCGGAGCTGCTGAGAGCTTGTAGAACAGTTTACAAACTTCTGCACAGATGTGGCATCAAGCACTGGGACTTCGGCATGCTCACATTACTATTTACTGCAACAGAACATTTCAGACAACAATTAAAGACAAATGAATGATTTACGTTGTGTCTGCTTTTGAATCTATTCTAAAACACACACTTTAGTATTTCTGAACAGTTTTTGCTGAAGAAGAAAGCACTGAATCACCAGCATGCGGCTAAAGCATTCGATTCGCCACTTGTGGTGTTTTTCACGCAGATAGTTTTGGTTTTTATTGGCTCTCATGTGTCTTTTTGTGGGCTGTAATTATCAGCTTGAAGGCAGGAAACCTACAAACACATTCTGTCTCAGTCCAAATGGGATGATAACACGAAGACTCCATGTTGGACTCTTGGATTTCATCACCGAGGCAACTTCTACTCTGACACATTTTCCTGAGAGGCCAAAAAATGAAAACTTTATCTGTCGAGTTTGGAGACGCAGAATCATTTGAGCCAGACCAACAAGCTAAAGTCTAGTCGGAGTGAGGCCAGCTACAAAGTGGTTTTGACATCCAAAATGATTTCATCGCAGTTCATTCAAATATTAATCTGTGGACAATTAAAGGAACATTGTGCAAAACTCATCTTTTACATCTTTTTGTGCCGTCGTGTGGGTCTCGACTGCTTCTATAAACACTACAAACCTAAAAGAAACTCATCCATCTATTTTCTGTCAGTTATAGGAATTATGTGCTTGAAACAAGCTATTTCAAAAAGTCCCCATTTGTGATGTCACAGACGGGGAATATCAATTGCAGGAGAAGTGAGCTGCTGGAGGAGCAGCGGCTCTACTCTGAGCCCCTCCTGAACATTGGAGCTTCTCAGCTTATAGCAACCTGAGAAGGTGATGGGTGGGCTTGGCCACCAGCTTTTTTTTTCTTGAAGCCTTGCTCTCGAAGGTACTGAAAATGTTGGGAATAAAACTGTTGAAATTGCTTTGTGTGTGAGAGGTTTTGTGCAAAGGTCTTCATGAACATTTTTCTGTATCAACCAAAGAAAACAAGTCATAAAATGTCAATCAATCAATCAATACTTTATTAATCCCAGAGGGAAATTAGAGACATGACAAGAATTGGTGACTGTGGTCATTTGCAACCCGAGTCGTGCTTAATAGAGATAAGAGGGTTACATGAGGATTGGTTCAGGTGGAGGGAAAAAAAGGCACTTCAGACACTTCAGGCATGAGACTCCAATAGGAAGTCGGGGGGGGGGGGGGGGGGGGGGGGGGCTGGGATCCTGTTTCCCCCAGTGAGAGCAGCCATCTACGGTGCTCATCTGCTGTACAGTCACAGGTGGGAGGGAGAGCTTGGGAGAAGCGAGGAGCACATTGACTCCTGCAGGTTGATGACCTCGCCAGGCTGACGTCTACCAATCTGAAGGTGTGTGTGTGTGGGGGGGGGGTCGGGTTTTCACAGCATCTGTCTGCATTCCTTCATGGGGGTTTTAGTTGCTTGCAGCTCAAGGCTACCAGGGCGTCAGATTCGGATAACAACAATTTGTTTGGGTCAGGCTGAGATAATTTTCCTCTCTGCCTTCAGTCTTTAAACTGATCATTCCAGTCCTTCAGTGAAGCCAATTTTGGGTTTTAAACTTGTCCATACCGTCCGGTGACTCTCTCCGAGATGACGTCCATTTTGCGCACTAATACCGGTATCGAAGCTAGAACATTGTCCAGCTTACGATTCACCTCGAGTAACGTCCCAGTCTGTGAGGTCTCCACACGGACGATGCTTTCCGTGGGTGCGGGTCGCCCTCCAATCGCTCCCGTCTTCCCAAATTTCCAGAAAACCAGATATCCTCCCACTCCAATCAGGAGAAATCCAGTGATCATCAGGCCGAATATCCACATGTCTTCGATATCCTCAATGGACAGCTGGCTGAGGCATATGATCTTCCACTCCTTCCAGGAATCCAGCATATACCCCACCAGGTGTGTCCCCTGTGGACATGTGGGAGCCCCCTGCTCCGTTCTCATTGTTGAAAAAATCTTATCGATCGCATTGAATGACCAATTTTTCAAATCCATGGTTAGTAAAAAATAGAGTTTTTCAGAAGAAATGCAGAGAAGCGCTCTGTGGGCAGACAGGACAAAGAGCCTTGGAAAAAAAAAGATAAGGGAGCGAAAGAGAGAAGCGTCTGGACTCCTCGAGTGCCAACAGAAGAAATATTTAAGCATATTAAAGCAATGATAAAAGTCATTTTTGGTGCTGTACAAGTTTGTCCGGATACGATTAACCTTTAAACTAAATAACAATGTCTTCACCATGATTACAGTTTTCACAACATCACTGTTGTGAAAATTCTTTGCTCTGCTTGCAGCAGCATGTGACAGATGATACGCTGGTGCTGAGTCAGGCTGGGCTTTCCTTGTGCTTCACCCTGTAAAAAACCCTACTTGTTAATAACAAAATGTCTGCTAATCACAACAACCAAGAAGATTTAAACATAAATTATGTGGACAGCATTAAATACAATGAGAAACGCTCCTAAATGTTTCAGTAAAACCACGTTTTCTGCAGCTTTGACGGAACCGGCTCTGCTGGAGAGGAAAACGATGCACGCAGCTTTTAGCGACAACAACTTAAATGTGGAGCTGAGGAAAGCGATTTGTTGTCAGGCCTCTTTGTTTTGGTTCAGCATGTTAGGAGGTCAACAGGCACGTGCGAGAGCGAAAGGGTAAAGGTCACAGCGACAGTTTCAGGTCAGGTGGCGTCGGCGCTGAGACAGATGGTGACTTAGAAGGCAGCTCGCTCCCTCTGGGACGTCTCGGACACCGGCGGGCTTTTCTGGCACAGAGACGTTGAAAATGGAGAAAAGCTCTGTCGGTGAAAGCTTTTTCTTTATTTTATTTTTTTTTTTTGCTAAATTAAATCAAAATGTAACATCAGAACTGTTTATGCGGATTTGAAAATAAACATCTGAGCAATTATTGATCCCTCTTTAGGACTTATAGTTTTTAAATTCACCTGCAAGTTTTATGTTTTTGTGTTCCAACACACCTGATTCTGGGGGTCCGTTTGTCAAGTTCTGCAGGAGCTCAGCTGAATCAGGTGCGGTGAGGACCACATCTAGAACACGTAGAATAGTTCCCCTTAGTGTTTATTATGAGTAAAGAAATGGTAAATGGCCTTCTAGAGTCCTGGAACCCCCCAAGGCGCTTTACAACACAATCAGTCATTCACCCATTCACACACACATTCACACACTGGTGGGGATGAGATACGATGTAGCTACAGCTGCCCTGGGGCGCGCTGACAGAGGCGAGGCTGCCGAGCACAGGCGCCACCGGTCCCTCCGACCACCACCAGCAGGCAACGTGGGTTAAGCGTCTTGCCCAAAGACACAACGGCATCAACAAACTGAGCAGGGCTCGAACCTGCAACCTTCCGATTACGGGGCAAGCTCTTAGCTCCTGTGCTAAATAACTGCTGGGACTCCTTGAATACATTCAAAACCAGACTGAGAGCCCTTGAGACAGATTCCCCGTGTTGTAACTGCCTTCTGTAATTTAGTACATAACACGTCTGAGTAACTGAAAAATGTAACTGTAACTTTTGCTGCCTCTTGGCCAGGACTCCCTTGAAAATGAGATTTTTAATCTCAATGGGACCTTCCTGGTTAAATAAAGAATAAATAAGAAGCTAAAATGGCAAATTTGGATAACAAATTAGCTTAAAACATTTCTGGTGCTTCTGAACGACGTTCTAACAGGGTAGAGCTTTAAAGAGCAAGTCACCACCAAATCAATATTTTTTTCTAAATCTTTTCAAAGTGAAGCTCGCTTGAACGGCTTTTCCCAAGAACAAGTGCTGCACCGTTAAGTCAAAAATTTAGAACATTTGTAATAATTCTGAGGCATTTGTCTGAGCAAATGTGAAATTATGCACATCTGTCAGCAAAGTCAACAATTCTGAGTCAAAGACGAAAGAAAACTCACGACGAAATCCACTTTCTTCCCCCTCTCGGCCTTTTTGCAGCGAACCAGCTGCTGTGTCACTCCTCCACAGGAGTGAGTGCCGATCATCCCCCGTGAGAGGAAAAGAGGGGATGAAGGGAAGAGAAGGACGAAGGGCTGGGGCAGGATGGAGGGTGGGACAGGATGGGTGCAGCTAGACGCTTTAGGTCAAAGGTCAGGCCTGGATGTGTTGGGATCTTTTGTTCCGTGTCCACCTCCACCACGACCGCTGATGTTATCATGACACATAATGATTATTTGAGCCTCAAACACATGCATGATGGTTGACATCACACACACACACACACACACACACACACACACACACACTTGGGCTTGATTTATGAAAAGGTTTAGTTAAAATCCACAGTGGAGGTCAGAGGTCACCAGGGGATGAACGCTTTCCGACCCTTTCTCCAGCCACCCACCGGACCCTGGTCTACTTTGTCTTCTCTTTAAAAGTTTTGTGTTGAAAAGTGCTGCTTCAACTGATTTTACGTCATTAAAGAAAAGCAGGTCACACGACTTTTCTTTGTCTCCACGCAGCAGACAGGAAGCTGCCGTTAGCAAACGCTAAAAATGTAAAACGCTCTGCTCACAAATTTTCATATCACTGCACAAATCTTCTTCTTCTTCTTCTTCTTCTGGGAGAGTACCTCCGTAGGAAAACCGGAGCCGATTTCAGTCTCGGGAAACGGCATTTGATGAGCTGAAAGTGGTGCTGAGAAGAGAAAACGTGTTTCGTCTCATTTCAAAGGAGTTTATGAGAACGTGATTGGTGTGTCGCGTGCAACACAAGTGTAATTTTTATTGTTGTTACCGGTGATCGTATTTTTTCTGTCACTTTTACTTTTCCGGGATTAGTAAGTAATCTTCATTTGTATAGCACATTTCCCAGGCAGAAGCCACAAAGTGCTTTACAACGTTGCAAAAATGTTAAACAATAAATAAAAAGGGTAATAAAACATATCATAAAAGGGCATAATCACACTCTAAAAAATTCCCTGTTAAATTACGGTAAACTACTGGCAGCTACAGTTGCTAGCTTGAAACTGCAAATCTACAGCACTAGTGATGTGTCGGTCGCGAACGAATGGGCTCTATGAAGTGAACGACGGGAGCCGGCTCGTTGTTGGGATGGACCTCACTTCTAGAGGCTTGGGTTCAGGACTGAAGTGAAGATCAAATGAGACAAGACTACAATCATGCAAATGGACATCATTTATAGACATATTTTAAGTGTCCAGGCCCAAATCGAAACTATGGCCTTTCTGGTGGGTAGGATCGAAAACAAGCTGCTCAAGGTTAAAAGCTTCAGCCAATGATAAAAGTTCCTATGCATGACAAGATGAGCTGTCATCGACACGAAGATTAAAATCCACAAGGATTAAAATGTTTCCGGTTTTATAATAGAGGACAGGACTGCACCAAAATCCTTTGAGAAGTCGGCGGCAGGGCCAGGAGATCGGTAAAACACCACGCAGTACGAAGGCGATGGAGAACCCACTTTAACCATCAGTGATTCAAAGGAAGAAAATTCTTGGGACTGAATCACATTGCACTTTTAAGCATTTTTATGCACAAGTGGCTCCGCCCTCTTGATCTGCTAGGCAACAGCATTTGTTGCATTTTTCAAATAGGAAGTGGGAGTGGAGTAAAGCTTGGTTTATGCTTGACGCGTCCGCGAGGTCCGCACGGCTCCGCGCGGAAAAGTTGAGTCATTTTGCATCATTTTAACAACCACGCCCCTCCACCGCGTCTCCGCACGGCCCAAGATTTCCGCAATGCGCACCTCGGAAAATTTCTAACCACGCGGACGGACGCAGAAAAACATGGCGGACCGGCAAGAACTAGTACGGCAGAGGTTCGTAAATACAGACATTTGTATGATTCAGCTCTCAGAGATCACCGTGATCAACATGTAGTTAATAACTCTTGGAGAGAAATAGCTCGCACTGTCGGAAAAGACGAGGACGCTGTTAAAAATGCTGAAATGCCATGTTGTAAACAGTAATTTCTACTTCTACTATGGTGTAGTGTTGCCTTAGAGCTCCATGCTGCCCCCTACAGTTTGGGAGAATATTGGCTCACCGCAGAGACGAGCCGCACGAACCATAAACGCTGCGAGTTGTGAAGCACGTTCCATCCGCGAGCCGCATCACCGCGCGGAAAGTGAATGCGTCAAGCATAAACCAAGCTTAAGACTTTCATAGGGGCTGACTTGCTCTTTAAATAAATAAACTCATCCACTCTCTGCCATATCTCCAAAAGACACAAAATATCCAGTTTTTCCCTTAAAAAGAGATCATTCAACGAAGGGGATTCATTTCCAATTGAGCGAGCATTCAACAAGCAGACGTGAATTGTAGAGGAAGTCTTCAGGCTTCTGTTGTTTGTGGAGATAAAACATCAACGTTCCAAAGCAAATGGAGTCAGTGGTGGAGTCACAATGCTGTTAGCCAATCAGAAGTGAGACATCCAAATATCAGGAAATAAGACTCCTGCTGTCTTCTTCCCCCGCTCTTCACTGGCTAACTTCTAGTTCCTGAAACAGGAGCGCCAGAGCTTTGTTTCCTCACTGAGATTGACTCATTCATTTATGCTAGAGAGACCACTGCAGACACGATGGAAAAGAACATGAACTTGGTCTTTAACAGTTCATTTTTGCTTCCCAGCTGTAAGGAACACTAAGGAATCATCAACCCTAAACAAATTATGAAGCATTTTCTAAAACATATTTTAGTGTATTTTTTAAGCTACAAGATGATCCAAATGTATTTAAACTTATTGTTCTGCAGGATCAGACTGACACAAACAAAATCTAAAAGTGACACTTCTCAAACCAGATCCCATCACCCCCCCCGTGTTCCTAATCTAGGACACCGAGTGTTGCACGTGAACGGCTGCTGCAGCACGGAAACCCCCAGGATCCCGAGCTGTGGCACGTAGATGTTCTCCAACACAGCATGAATTATGGATTGAATGAAAATGAATAATGAATCGAGCATAATGACCATCGCTGCTTAAAGAAGGTGTAACCATAGGTGCATCTGACTCGATGCTTGAGATGTGTTTGTCAACAAATTCATGAATTATGTTCAATAGATAAGTATACATGTTTGAATCTCAGTGGTTTTGATAATAACATGGTTTTCCGTCTGAGATGACAACTGAAAGTGAGGCTTTAAAAGGAATAGAACCCATTTGTTTCTTATACTCTCAATGTAAACAGAGTAAAAACATCTGTTCGGTAAAACTCCATCCATCCATTTTCATCCGCTTATCCGGAGTCGGGTCGCGGGGGCAGTAGCCTACTGCGAGAGGCCCAGACTTCCCGCTGCCCAGCCACTTGGGCCAGCTCTTCCGGTGAAATCCCAAAGCGTTCCATGGCCAGGTGAGAGACATGGTCCCTCCAACGTGTCCTGGGTCTTTTAGGCCTTCTCCCGGTTGGACGTGCCTGGAAAACCTCACCAGGGAGGCGTCCAGGAGGCATCCTGACCAGATATCTCTTCAGGTGAGCTCTTTGTGAGCGACGGCGGCACAGGAGCTAAGTGCTCGCCCCGTAATTGGAAGGTTGCAGGTTCGAGCCCCGCTCAGTCTGTTGCTGCCGTTGTGTCCTTGGGCAAGACACTTAACCCACCTTGCCTGCTGGTGGTGGTCGGAGGGACTGGTGGCGCCAGTGCCCGGCAGCCTCGCCTCTGTCAGTGTGCCCCAGGGCAGCTGTGGCTACATGATAGCTCATCCCCATCAGTGTGTGAATGGATGAATGTCTGATTGTGTTGTAAAGCGCCTTGGGGGGTCCCAGGACTCTAGAGGGCGCTGTATCAAATACAGGCCATTTACCATTTCAGTAAAACTATGAAGACCAAAAATAAACTGGAAGTTTGTTTCAGAGTCAAGACAAACAGAAAACTCCCACACTGAACGAGTCTTGGGTGAACGTATTCATCAGTTATAGCTACTTTTTTATAGTAAAGATTTGATCTATTTTACTCTCAAGTACTTGCACATGAATATGTAAAAATACGGACGCAGTTTTACAGTTTTGCAAAACGTCAGCATTTCTGACGACAGCAATAATTAGTTTTTCTGCAGGTTTCAAAGTGATCCAGTTCTCACGTGTCAACAAACAGAGCAATCGTAATGATCACTCACTCAGGACGACACGAGTTTGTTCACTCCGTCAGCCTGATGTTTCATCACTGGAGGTTCGATATGAAGCAAGAACTCTGCAACATGTTGAAGGAGCTTTAAAGGAGCATTATGTAAGAATTCTTCAGTGAAATAATCACTAAATAGTCTAACGTCTCAAATATGTTTAAGCTTTGTGAGTTTGTGAGGTTGCCAAATCTGTACAGAGCTAATGCAGCAGCATTTGTAATTTGACACCGGCAGGCAAAAAGATCCAAATTTTTTTAAAGAATCAATGCCAGTAAACAGGAGCGAACCCGAAGTTATTTATTGTACCGCTAAGAAGCACAACATCTTGGGTGTTTCTCAAAGCCAAGGAACCTTGCCTTGATGTCTTGGCCCCACCCCGGTTGCCTAGGAGATACGTCATCAGGAGCTGCCAAGACATGTTCCAGCGTTCATGTTCCACCGAGGTGTGTGTTCTCTGTTAGCCATTTAGCTAGCTGGGCGAGGATACACGGGAGGTGCTTAGTAGCTTAGCCTTGGTCAAAAATTACCCAGAATACACCGCAGTATTTTCCAAAGGACGGACGATCAGAAGCCGGCAGCTACTTTGGGGACAATTTTCAAGTTTAAAAGTAAGTCAGCTAATCTAAATAAAATTTTTAGATCCAAAGAAGTTATCTATGGTTGGTTAGTTGCTTAGTAGTTGCAGCTTCAGTGGCTAGCGGGTAGTAACTCACTCACATATTTAATTTAATAAACATATACACAATTTAAAAAGTAAAAGGCTCGTTATATATTTATATTGAAACTAATACGTATAAAATATAACGTCATCTCCCGTGTCACGTGACGTTACGTGACCGCCGTGGAAGCCGTGGCCACGTGATGCAAGTCTGTTCCATTTAACCGTTTTCTTTGACCAAGGAAGGACCGTGTCCTCGTAAGCAAG